TTTAGTGTCAGAATGCCAAATTCATTCAACATGGCCAGCCAAAATACGAAATTCCTGAATTCTTCCTATGCTTCAGATTTGAACAATGCCAAAGATACCAAAATATTGTATGAATAGTTTTCAGTAAGTTTTCTTTAGAAGAAGAAAATAGCTGTCTCTTCATCCTACTGCCTGGAACATGTGTATAATGTCTGGAGTTCCATCTACCTTTGAGGATCATGAGGAAAAATGTTATATTTTAAGGATGTCAGAGCAGAAAGTTGAAAGAAGCCTGATTCCTGATGATTTCATAGAGTTGCCTTTTTCGGTATAAACAGACACTTGTTTATTATTTTGGGTTTTCTGGCAAATATAGGCAAACACAATATAACACAAGTTAGTTTCAACACATTTTTTATACATGTTTATTGTAAGTCTATCTATAGTTGCTGAAGTCATTATGAATTAACACAGGCCTGCTGAATAATTTTTTATCTCCATTGAGTATTATGTCCTGTAAAAGTTTGAAAATGCTTCCAAGGCCATTCTGAACATTTTAATTTAGAATTTTGCTCTCTTTGATATAGACACACCTCGAAGATGTTGCTGGTTCCAGGTCATTGCATGAAGTGAATATCTCAATAAAGCCAGTCACACACTTTTATTTTGTTTCTCAGTACATATAAAAGTTATTTTATAAGATACTATAGTCCATTAATTGTGCAGTGGCATTATGTCTAAAAATGTATATATGAATTTAAAAATACTTTATTAGTAAGAAGTGCTAGCAATCATCTGAGCCTCCATGAGTTGTCATCATTTTGCTGGTGGAGGATATTGTCTCTATGTTGAGGGCCTTGCTCTGGATTAGGTTTTGGCTTAAGGGAATGTTGTGGATCGTTTGATCTTCTGTCTAGACCACTTGAACTTTCTCCATATCAGCAATAGGGCTGCTTCACTTTTTTGTTTTATCATTTGTGTTTTTACTAGAGCAATTTTAATTTTCTTCAAGAGCATTTCCTTTGCATTCACAACTTGGCAAATCATTTGGCATAAGAAGTCTAGCTTTCAGCCCGTCTCAGCTTTCAATATGCCTTCCTCACTAAATTTAACCATTTCTAGCCTTTGATTCAAAATGAGAAACATGCAAATCTTTCTTTCATTTAAACACTTAGGGGACATTGTAGGGTTATTAATTGGTCTAATTTCAATATTCTTGTGTCTTAGAGAATAGAGAGGCCTAAGGACCGAAGAGAAATAGGGGAATGCCTGCTTGATGAAACAGTCAGAACACACACATTTATTAAGTTCACCATCTTATATGGGCGTCGTCTTGGCACCCCAAAACAATTACAATAGTAACATCAAAAAATCACATATCACCATAACACATATAATAATATGAATATCAATATAACAATGATGCATATGCTTGAAATAGTGTGAGAATTACCAAAATATGACATAAAGACACAAAGTAAATGCATGCTGTTGGAACATGGTGCTGATAGACTTGCCCCATGTAGGCCACAAACCTTCAACTTGTAAAAACCACAACATCTGTGTGAAGCACAATAAAGCAAAGCACAATAATATGAGTCATGATCGTATTCATTTTGAGCCTTTTTTTCTTATAGTTTACACTCAGTCAGATATATTTTAACCTATTGTTTCAATTGTGTAACTTTCTGCATTTCTTTGTTTCGGCAGTGCAAGTAAATCTTTCCTGTTTATGAGTGAGGGAGATTATGGTGGACTTGGTGGTGGGAGGGAAATGTCATCTTAGTCTTTTCAGGAGTGAAACATACCTACACTTGTTGTACTGGCTACATTCAGCACATAACCACATTCCATTAACAAGGAACCATGTATATTTACAATGGTGGTCCCACAAGGTAATGCCATATTTTCACTGTATCTTTTCTATGTTTAGGTATGTTTAGATACACATCTACCATTGTGTTACCACTGCCTACAGTATTCAATACAGTAATTTGTTGTACTGGTTTGTGGCCTTCAAGCAAAATAGGCTATAGAGTCCAGGTTCATGTAAGTAAATTATATGATGTTTGCACAATAATGAAATCACCTAACTCCTCATTTTTCAGAAAGTATCCCTGTTGTTAAGCAATACATGACTATACTTCTGTCATTTCTGCATACTTACTGTTTTTACCCTTCATATTGTTTTACTCTTCATACTGTTTTATTCTTTATATCGTTTTTACTCTTCATATTTTTGTTTCTTTACCTAGGATGTAGATAGGTAAGATCTGATTTCTATCTAACCAGTCTTCTCTGCCCTACTCTCTTTTTTCTCTTTGCACAACTCTAGACTTTTTCAGGTCTTCTGATGTCTTACCTTCTTCTTCCCCTTTGCAGTGCTTTGCACATGATTTTTCCTTTTCACCCACTAGTCACCCTTCAGATCTCAGTTCAAAGCTTTCTCTACCCACTGGATTAGATCCACTGGACATGTGATATCTGCATATCATATACCTTTTCTTTTTCTTTTTCTTTTCTTTTTTCTGAAAAAAAAAAGAAAAGAAAAGCAGTGTCTTTTCAGGAGTTACACATACCTACATTTGTTGTACTGGATACATTCAGCACATAACCATATTCCATTAACAAGGAACAATGTATATTATACAATGGTAGTCCCACAAGGTTGTACCATATTTTCACTGTGTCTTTTCTATGTTTAGACACACAACCACAGAAGGTCTTGCTCTGTCATCCAGGCTGGAGTTCAGTGGTACAATCTTGGTTAGCTGCAAACTCCTCCTCCTGAGCTCAAGCCATCCTCCCACCTCAGCTAATCAAGTAGCTGGAACTACAGGTGCTCACCACCATAGCCACCTAATTTCTATATTTTTGGTAGAGACAGGGTTTCACCATTTTTCCCAGGCTGGTCTTGAACTCCTGAACTCAAGTGATCCTCCTGGCCTCAGCCTCTTGAAGTTCTGGACTAACAGGCATGAGCCGCCACACCCAGTTCACATACTTTCCTTTATAGAATTCAGCATATTGTAATTTTTTGTTAATGTGTAATTAAATGTTTAATGTAGTTCTCTCCAACTAGATTTTAGACTCTATTAATATAGATCTATTTATTTATGTATATCTATGTATTTTTTCTCACCCTTTTGTTCCTAATGACCTGCCTAATTCATGTCCCATAGTGAGCACTCAGTAAATAATCATGATTATCTTACCTAAGTAATCATAATAATTATGTGACCAGAGGCCAGCAAGGAGAGACTTGCATGTTATGTGTAAGACACCAGCACTCTAAAAGCAAAGGTTAGGAAGTGAAGATTATCTACATTGCCATTTTGAGATAAAAATGAAAACCTGTTAAGTAGTACTTCTTAGTAGGGACTGGCAATTGTTTAATAGATTTTGTAAAAGTAATATTGACTTGTGAGAATAGCAGGCTTAAAAGTCAAAGATGAAAGAAGAAACAGTGATGGACAAGTGAAATAACTAGGGAAGTAAATATAATCAAAACTTAAGAGAAAAAACAAACTAAATTCAAGGAAAATTTTAGACACTTTTCCTAGTCTGGCCACCTCCAGTCTCACTGTAACTCACTTTATAAACTACTACTGTAGTTATCCTGCTGAAGAGCAGGCCTGATCATTTCACATATTTGCAGTCTTTTAGAAGCTCGTCAGAGACTACAGCTGATGAAGTGCTGCTTCTCACTGAGTATAAGCACAAAGTAAAGAACTATATTTTTTTTATCACATATGCTCGCTTAATTTTATTTTTAAATATTTTTGGGAAAGTTGGCTTTCCTCTTTATAAGTTCAAATAATTTATAGATTGAAGCAGTCAGCATGGATTTTAAAATAATACGGATGAGTCCAGGCATCTATTTCAATGCCCATAATCTCACAGGAACTGGAAAATTGATTCTTTGTTGGATTATTTTAATGTACTATGTATTAGTTTTCAGAGGTTCAAATCATGCAAAACAAACTAATTTTCCTCATTACATTGCAAGATATTTAAGTACCAGGAGGTATTGCAGAGTGTAAACCAATTTAAGTGTATAGAACAATATGTTGGGAATTTGATTTTATATCATAGTTTGGGAATAAGCCTAATGACCTATTCTTTTAATTGTTAAGTGCAATTTGTGTGAATTGTACACTACAATCAGCCCTTTTTGATTGAGCTCCATTTTCTCTCCAGGTGTGATTACCTACTCATAGATAGATGATAGATATAGATAGATAGATGATAGATAGATAGATAGATAGATAGATAGATAGATAGATAATAGAAGTTCTTAGTAGACTTCTGGATAACAATAATGAGAACACTTTAGGTATAATTAATGACCTTTTTAATCTAATTATTACCTTCTGAACAGAATTCTAGAAACAAAACTTAGAAAAAATCCTTACTGATACAATACCTGAGCTTTCTGTTTTCTAGCAATGTTCCATTGTACTAAAATTAATTCTCAATAGTTACTATAACTATAATATTAAAATAGCCCTTCACAAGAAAGTCATAGTGAAAAATATACCATGTTTTTCAGAGCTTAGAAAACAGAAAGCATAATTTTATACTACAAAAATATTTGAAATATCAATCTTCCATTAGTTCTGAATTAATATGACGAAAGCTTGCCAATGAACCAAAAGAAACTTGTTTTCTTGGTAATGAAAACCAAATCAAATAAGCAACTACAAACAACACATTTATTTAGAAAAATAAACTGAAAATGCTGTTTGGCTATAAAAACTGTCACATGCCAAATACAAATTAAAAATGACTTTTTAATTAAGAGAACAAATAGATGTTCAACACAAATGCTTAGTATGCATTTCACTGTATTTGACTTCTTGGTTGTTAATGATATCAAATGATCTTCATTAAAAACTTTGGATCCCTTTTTCATTCATTTGACCACACTGATGCTTTTTCATTGTTATTCTGTAGTTGTTTTTAAATTTGTTTTAAAATCAAATCCATTTTTTATTAGATAACTGATTTTTTTTTGGAAGGAAGAAAAATCAATGTCTTGAGAATTCTTACATTTTTCCATTTTGGATTCCTGCAAGAAACTGCTTGCTGTGGTCTCAAAACTCATGGGACCATCTGTGCAAATAACAGCACACATCATTACCCTGAATGGAAGTGACAGTGCAAATATTAGAAGTTCACTGAGAAGTAATCAGTAAGAACTGACTTCCCCCCTCTTCCAACCAATATAGGGTGAAGGATTGAATGCGAAAAATTTTCAAGCAATTGACAACAATGCTATTATCTCAGGATGGCTTTGAGGCTATACACAAGATGGCGAACACTCTCTGTCTGGAAAAAGCAACATTCGTCCTAAGACTGTTCATTGCTGCAATGTTTCTCTGTTCATTCAGTTTTTGTTTTTTGTTTTCTTTTGTCTACATATTTTGAAATGATGTGTAATTCTGGCTAGAAGTACCTCATCTCTCTATACTTTAATCTTCCCAAATGGTAAATCAGTTTATAATTTACTGGTTTAATTGCTTAATATTAATTTTGTTGGTCTCACATCTGGGAACAGTTTATTTCCATAGTGAAACAAGATGAGTTGGTTTGGTGTTTATGTTTTGTTGGCTTCTTGTTTAGTACTTTCCATCTATTTATTTTATATTCATGGTAGTTTCTGAGTGAAGAGATTTAAGGCTGTGGCTGTTTTTACCCCCAAGGCTCTGCTCCTGGCTGTCAGATAGAGGAAGATGATTTTACGCAGACTATATCAGAGATCATTTGTGCTCCAAGGCTGAGAGATTTGCTGCTCTGAGATGGTCAGGCTTCTGGTTACTTTAGAATTAGATCTGTCCTCAAGAAGTCATAAAGATGAAGCTGAAGTGAGAAAAACGAATTGACATGCCCCCAAGTAAAGGTATTCCTTCCAATCTGAAGGAGCTGTCAGAAGAAGAAAAACAAAATACAAATATGGTCAGTTTAAACAGTAAATATGGTTTAACAAAAACACATAAAAATTATTAAAAATGAAGCAATCCTCTGTTAATAATAAAAATAATTTTTGATTATTTACATTGTCAAGCATTTTATTTTAAATGTCTAAACATTTTAAATAAATATTTAAATATTTAAATAAATATTAAAACATTTAAATTGTATATATTATTTTGTAAGTTAGTCATCAAAATTTAAGTACAGTAGTATGATTATACCTAAATTAAAAGATCTTCCCTTATTCCTAACAGTGCTTAGAACTTCAGATAAATTTGACATTAAGTATAACAAATTTTCAATATAGTTAAGAAACACTTTTCCATTAAGGTAGATCTTTCATTTGAAATAATAACCACAAAGTGTAATTTCACAACACTTTATAAGAATGATGTAATTTTTATTGCAATCTATATAGTTTAAACTTATTACCAGATTAGAAAAGGGATATTTTTCCTTGATACAGCAGATAATTAGCCATAGAATTAATCTTTCTTCACTTTAGGAATATCTGTAATACTTTTAAAACAGTACATGAAAATAAATTATATCCATATCTCTAATTAATGCATTTTTTTTGGAAAACAAAAAGAAATGCCACAGTTATCACCCTGACAAGCCAACATCAGACATGTTTAGCGCCACTTAATATGGAGTGCATCTGTGGTCTTCTATTTAAGTTAGGATGTAATAAAGAATATTTATGCTTACACTCACAACAATAGGTTCAGAATGCTATTACTATAAACCCAGTATAATGATTAATTGATTTATAAATTATTAGAAAAGTTAGAGACAGAGGAATGCCTTTAAGCGTATTTTTTTAAATCTTAAAATCCATCTGAGAAACCCCTGTTTTAACCTTTTCATTTGGGGTTAGGCAAACCCCCAAAGAGAATGTGGTTTTCTCCCATATAGCCACACGAACATACATATAGGCAGCAGAGTAAATAATTTAGTCATTCTGTGACAAAATTATTAGTCAGTATTCTATTAGATTAATAAGTGATAATTTTCATTATGTTACCCAACTACCATGACAATGTTTTAGTACTAAATGATCTAAATGAACAATCAAAAAGGAAAAAAAGTCAATAACTCTCTCTCCTATCTCCAAGATTAAAACCAGAAAAATCACTGAACACAGGTCAATAAGACTCGAGGGCTTACTCTGCGTCATTACTAAAGGTGTTCATGAAAGACAGAGAAGCAGTAAAAAACAATCTTCATCATGGAGTTGCTTAAGAAGATGCAGGAACTTATCTGTACAGAAAAGTGGAAAAGCCTGGATGGAACTGGCCTAAACTTTATACAATCCCAACAGCATTGCTTGCCTCTATTTGTGCCATTTTTGTATCATCTAGAAATATAAGTCTCTATGTATTTAAAGGAAACCAGCGCTCAAGCTGTTATTAATGAACAAGCAGTAGTCCTACAATAATATTTTTGTTTTAGTATTAAATAAAAACAGTATGAAAAGCACACAAAGCCGACTTTCCACGAATGTGTGGGTACATAATTCACATATTTGAAACAACGATAATTAAATGTGACAATTATATTTTTAATGGCTATGTAATATGGGAGGCTTCAGCAGCCTTTGATAAGCTGCTACAGTTTATTAAAACTTCAATCTATTATTTGCATGTTTATTTGTCTAAAAATATTGATTCATCATCTATTGTATACTACTCTAGAATCCATGGATACAAAAAAAGCTTATTTCTTGCTCTCCAAGGAGATTAGTATCTGAAGGTTAAAAAAGCAAACATTCATAGTAAAAAATTGGTGCCACGACATACATAAATATAATATTTTAAAATGAACATGGGAGTAGTGAGCCTACAAAAGGTGGCATTTGAATTGAAATTTAAGGGATAGGTTGCAATTTTCAAAAATAAAATGTTATTAGTTATGAATAAGAGTATTTCAAGCACAGGGACAAGCATGGTCAAAGGCATAGAAGCAAGAGAGAGAGAGTGATACCTTCAATATTGTATAGCATAAAACTACAAAGAGAAAAGACATGTTTCTGAAGAGCTTGACAGAGGACAAGGTGTCCTTTTACACTATGTAAAACTAGATATTTATGCTAATGGCAATGGAAAATGTTGAAAACTTTTGATGAGGAGCGTGCCTGGAAGAAGTGTGGAAAGTACAATGAGGAGGAGGGAAGTACTTACGCTCCATATTTTCAGTAAAGACATGGCGAAGACACTGGCTGAAAGCAATAACTATGACTACAGTTGCAGATGCTTTCTTAACGGTAAATTGAAGTGAGTAAACTAACCCATTCCTTCTTACTAAATTAAGAGAGCATTTTATTCAATTACCATACATTCAAGATGTGAGCAAACATTATTATAGGCTTTTCCTGTTCCACCAAATTTTTAGGTATCTTATGCAAGCGGATATTTGCTTCTCAACCCTCAGTGGCCATACGTTACAAGTAGAAAACAAAAATCATCTAACCAGTAGAAGTCTATATCTACTGATTAGATTCTAAGATTGGATATTAAAGGAACGTATTTAAAATCACTGAATTTTGAAAATTTGTTACATATATCCAGGCTTCTTACTGGATGGTATGAGATACCACATTTGATCCATTATCTCAGGCCCACTAAACAAAGCCTCAAATAGCTTTTCATGTATAATTTTGCCTATTTAATAATTGTATGAACTTCCATTATTATTGGTTATAAAATACACAAATTTTGAAACCTCCACATTCTTTTTTGCACGTTTACTTCAAATATAGAGATGTAATATACTGTCACTGTTACACAAGTTAAATAAGTCTATTCCTCATTGAAATAATAAAAAATAAATGACAAACAGAAAGACCTTGCACAATCAAAAATGAATTCAGGCACCCTCCATGGAAATGCCTTCCGACCCATTCTTCTTGTCAACGGGTTAATTGCTCTATTATGTTTGAAATGACTTGGCTTAAAACCATATAAGATTTACTCACTTTTTGGATGGAATAGGTCAAAGTTTTCAAGCACTTCAAGGGTCATTTTCTCATTCTTGTAAATGTTTCAAGGCCCAAATGTAATATGCAAAATGTGAATGATGCTAGATAATTTTTAGTCTTGAATCACTGAAACGTCAAGTTAATTAATTTATATAAGTAACATTTTAAGTGACTGAGAATATTTCTATGCAGTAAGGGCAGTATGATTTAAAAATGCCAAAGACAGCAAGCAAAGCTAAGGAAATGCTAAAAATAATACAAAAAATTTTTCTAAACAGACATGTCTCATAATTATATACTTATTTGGATTTTGGTAAAATTTTTATAATTTTCTTCTTTATAATCTGTATTTACACATTTTAATTACATACATTTTTGTATATTAGTTATAGCGTTTTAAATATATTTTATAAAATATTTATATATACATAATTTAAAATATTTAATATATATAATAAATATACAATTTTAAATATTTTAAACTATAGGACAATGTGTCTGTCATGTGTCTGTTGGATTATAAGAAGTAGTAACTGTTAAGAGACCAAAATCATGTTAAAGAAAATCTGTCTTATTTCGCCTGTTAAAATCAGCCCTCC